CTTTCTTTCTTTCTTTCTTTCTTTCTTTCTTTCTTTCTTTCTTTCTTTGGGGTCTTTCTTTCTTTCTTTCTTTCTCCTCATCTGAGGATATGTTTCCATTGATTTTTAGAGAATGTGGAAGAGAAAGGGAAAGACAGAGAGAAACATCAAAGTGAGAAGAACACTTTGATTGCTCGCCTCCTGCATGAGCCCTGACCTGGGCCCGTGCCAGGGAGGAGCCTGCAACCTAGGTACATGCCCTTAGTCAGAATTGAACCCAGACCCAGCAGTGGGGAGGCCGAGGCATTATCCACTGAGCAAAACCAGCTAGGGCAGGATATGACATTTCTTAACCCTCCAACAGCGGACCTTCCTTTTTTTCTCCAGGAGTGTGGTAAAAAACCCTAGATCACCTTCTTGGATTCTTATTACCCAAGTTACTAAGAATATTACCAGTGGCATACAGGGAGCTTAACCAATGAGCGGTCAGAAAAGGTGTTTCCTCTGTAATTCACACCAATTGCCGGGCTTGGCCCTGCCCCAGGCCTAACGCCTCTTGCCAAGTCATTAACCCTGGGCAGGGGACCTCCAGCTCCCTCAATCGTCAGCTTGCCCCTGCTCCCCATGATTGCTGGCTCTGCCCCTGCTCCCCACCATTGCCAGCTCCCTCCCTGCTCCCCACAATCTCTGGCTCCCCCCCCTGCCCAGGCCTAACGCCTCTGACTGAGGCGTTAGACCTGGGCAGGGGACCTCCAGCTCCCTGCAATCGCGGGCTTCACTCCTGCTCCCCACCATCCCAGCTCCGCCCATGCCCAGGCCTAACGCTTGTGACCGAGGGGTCAGGCCTGGGAAGGGGACCTCTCAGCTCTGATTGCAGGCTCTGATAGCCGGTAGCTGCTGGGCGCCTACCTATGCAAATTAACCGCCATCTTTGTTGGCGGTTTATTTGCATATCATGCTGATTAACCCATGGGAGGCGTAGCGAAGGTATGGTCAATTACCCTCTTTTTCTATTAATAGATAGGATTAGAGCTGCATAACATATTCTCATGATCTGTTCTCTGTTCATCTCTCGGGTCCCTTCAATTATCAGCTGAGCCGCAGCACCGCGGCGGCGTGCGCCTCCGCCTGCGCCGCCTCCCTCCCCGCCCGTTCCAACACCCTCAGGGAACTACTTTGCCCTCCGCCTGCGCTGACGGGCTGGTCCGCGGGCCCGGCCCCGCTCCCTACTCGCGGCCCATCACATCGCCCCTCCCTACCCTAACGCCTGGATCAACTTCCCGGCGGCCTGCGACCTCCTCCCGATCCCTTCGAGGGACCAGGAAGGGAAATGTGAAGCTTCACTCGATATCCCTCCGCCGGGGTCACCCCCGCCCCTCCGTGGTAGCAGGAACTAATTCCCTTTCGGGTCACCGGAGGCCTGAGGTGGAAAGTTCACCGGTCAGAGTGCCTTGAGACCCTGGAAAAAGGGACCATCACCTCAAGTTAAAAACCCCCTGCCAGCTCAAAAAAAGAAGAGTTCGATTTAAAGTAGGGCTTTGGCCTCATGACCCCAACCAAGCCCCGCCTCTTCCTGGTTGTCTTAGCGACGACGGTGGCGTCCCAAGATGGCGTCGTGGCTGCCGGAGATTCTGTTCGAAATTGTAGGACAAGGCAAAGCGCCGAGCAAAGACCACTACCAGATGTTGATCACCCGCTCCCAGGCAAGTGCGAACCGCGGTTTACCCTCTCGACTAACTACCTGTCCGCCCCGGGGGAGCCCGGAACGCCAGCCGCGCTGGGCCGAGAGTGGCTGGGGCCCGCCGGAAGCGCCCGGTCCCGGCTCCCAGCCGGCAGATTTCCCTCGTCACCTCGGCCTCCTCAGTCGGCCCGGCGGCCCGCCGGTCCCTTCCCAATCCCCGCCCGGCTTGGCCCAGGCGAGCTTTCTCTGCCTCCGCACCACGCCGCGCTCTCCCTCCCTGCGACCGAGGGTTCCTACCCGTCGAGTTCTCTCCGCGCGAAGAGAAAAACAGGCGTCCCGGGCTTGCGTGCCGCCTCACCTCAGCGTGGGAAGGAGGGAAAGAAAGACTCATCCAAGTGTCCCAAGGAGGAGCCGGCAGGGGAGGGGGAAAGGGGCCGGTCTCTTTCCCTGGGTAGAACTTAATCCTGGGGGATTTTTAAAAAATCTCCTTGTGGCCTTCACCTGTGCCACGGTCCCATCGTAACTTCCTTATTTCTAGTAGAAACTGACCCTCACGAGCGTCGCCCTTACCTTTTGGGAGCCTTACTCTTCCATGGAAAGTGCAGGGGGTGGTACCAAAATGTTTCGGCTGCTCTGCGCGTCAGCCCCACCCATCGTGACATCTGCTCCACAACAATAAGGCCGGGGCCGGTGTTCTCGCTGTGTCCCGCGCCGCCGGCCGGCCTGTTTTTGTGTTACCTGAGCTGCTGAGGGGCTTTGGGAGGACTCGCTGTGCCCAGGAAATGCAGGGCTTGAACGGGGCCTCCACGCAACACGTTTCTGATTCCCGGCGGAGCTTACGCCTGTCACGGAGAGAGAGGTTCATGCACCTTGCACTAGACTAGAGGGTATTCCTATAAAATGACATTTAGAACTTTGTATGTATTTGCTTTGGTGTAGATAATGAATATTTCATCAGGTTTTTTTTTTCCATGAGCCCTTAAATAAACTAGGCAGAGAATGGGGTTTTTTTTTTTATAGCTTCAAAAGCACCTTTTAAAACAGAAGTAATACATATTTTGATTTTTTAAATCTACAATGTATAGATATTTCAGGCATAATATTAATATTCCCACGTGAGAGCCTGCCAATATTAAATTTTAAGTTAAACCTTTTTTTAGGGAATATTTACACATTGAATTGGAATTTCTTAATTTTTGAAATTTTTTTTTTTTTTGTAGTTTTTAGGAATGACTCTTTTCCATTCGCTTTAAGATGTATGATCCTAACTATTCTTATCTTCCTGACATGAGTTATTGGGACCAATAATATCTTCTTACCCTATTCCTACTTCATTTTTTATTTTAATCTACCTTAAGTAAGAATGTTCTAATTTTTATTTTATAGTCTTTCCCATAATTTGTCTTCTTAAAAATTTTTTTGAGTAATTATTTTTCTCAATGGTCTGGTATTACAAGTGCACTATACTCTAACATTGTAAGCCTCAGCAAGTTGAATACTTGTCTACCGTTTTGTTTTAGGAAATGAACCGTAGGAGTGGTCCTGACGTTAGTTTTCCCCAAGAATGCGTCTGTTTTTGACATTCTTCAGACTTTGCTCTCTACTGTAACTTGGGCACTTTAACTACTCTGTTTTATGAAATCTTTCCCTCCCCAAACAAATATTCTTAAATTTTTTTCTTTCTCCTTTTTTTTTTTACAGATCAAAAACTCTCCTTTATTTTAGGGCCCTATTTCTGTGAGTTGCTTGTATATAAAATTCTTTCCAGGGATGATCCATTTTCTTTTTTAAGCAAATTGAATATATTCACTACAGTTCTACCAGTGAGAGTTAATCTCAAATCTGATTAATTTACTCTCTTTATAAAGTAAAATTTGTTGTAAAAAATAGTAAGCTAAAAAAGGTTTTTTCAGTCAACTGTCTTGAGAATATGCTATTTTCTAACCGCAAAGCAATTTTTCTCAATCTCGACACAGGAAACCAAACATCCACTAAGAGGTGGTCTGACATAAATAAGTACTAAAAGACTAGAATTAAAATGTGCTTTATAAGATGGACTATTTTCTGGAGTAAATTTCTAAAACTTATTCTTGTACATTTTTTATCTCACTTTCTGCCTTTATTCCCCCAAATGTTGTATTTTATCCAAAATATGCACTAGGTTTAGATGGATACTTCTTTCACTCAGATTCCCTTTTTTATACATTTTTTACTGCTTTTATTTTTATTGGCTTTAAATCCAAATAATTGCACATATGACATGGATTTGAAGGCATACCACCATTGGCAAAGTGTGGAATATAAAATGTACACAAATATTTCCTTTGCCTTCTTGCTTACACAGTAACATTAAAAGCTTTTCTAAGGCTTACAAAGGTATTTCCAGTCAACGACTTGATGCCATGTTTTTGTTTGGGTTCTGTTTTGTTTTGTTTTTAACAAGGGACTTTATAGAATGCAGCTTGAGGTCAAGTCTGATCTTTATAATGATGATTGAAGGTTTAAAAAAATCAGTGCACTGCTTTCTAAATCAAAGATCCAATTCTTACTTTAGTTTTATGTATATATGTATATATATTTGGATTCTTTTTTTAAAAAACTAGTACTTCATAAAAGTTAAGGCCGGGAAGAATCTTGAATTTTATTTAGGCCAGGGATATTACACACCTAGCTTCTTAAAAAATTCTTAAGTTGTGTTCCTGGATGAAGAGTCTTTCCTTAATTTTTATCAGCAATTTGGCATTTACTATGGGGATGCAAAATATAAGAAGATTCCTGTCTTCCAAGAATTTATTATTCATTCAACAAATATGTATTGAACACCTTTTATAGGCTAGGTACTGTTCTAGATACTGAGAAACATCAGTGAACTAAACCAAGTACCTCCTCTCATGAAGGTTATAATACAGTGGGGATAATATAGTCAGTCATTTGATTTATATAAACACTTAAACAGTTTAACTTTTGTATCTTTTTTTTGACGTCCAAAAGAAAATTGACAAGTTAATGAATAGCACAAACATTTTTAAATCTGAGTCCAGAGGAAGCAAAAATCATTTTAGAGTGGGTGGTCCAGGAGGTTCCTATTACAAGTATTTTTGCTCTTGAAAGTCTGTCTTCTTAAAATGGAAGTGTAGTCAGAGTTAGTGGCTTAGGTTTAATGTGACAAATACTGAAAACTGCTAGAAATAGTACCCATACCCTAAATAGATGAGAATTGTCAGACGTGGCCTCCTCCAGCTAGTAACCCAGGTGGTTGTCCCAAGAGCAACATCATGTTCTCTGCAGCAGCTAAAAGAAGGGAGAATTGAGTAGTAGATTAGTCTGATTTTATCTTTCTAAAGCCTACTCAAAACTTCAAAAACATACCTGAAGCTAATGTCATCTGAAAAAAAATCCAAAAGCTCACTCCCCAAAAATATTTTTGGCATGCTTTAGAATTGTAACACTGACAAACTGAGATTGAATGTGAGCCTGTGACAACAATCTCTTATCTCAGTGACTCCTGAAAAGGGAATTAAAGAAAACTAGACTTGGTGACTGTTGTTTGAGAGACTTTGCAACAAAGTCATTTGCCATTTCAAGCCACTGACCAATTTTAAAGATTTAAAATTTAAGAACAGTCTAATGAAAATGTTAATACCTGGACATGTTGTCCCAGCAAATCCATATCTAGGATTTTATATTCAAAAATGCTTTCACATGTGTACAAGGATATGTGAGCAAGAATGTTCACCAAAGTAAAATAATTGTAAAAACATCTTTTCTACAGAAAAATATGCAACCTTTTAAAGTGATGTGATGGATCTCTGATTATTCAGTAGAACAAGTAAAATTGTAATCAAGAAGAGCAAGTTGCTGGATTAAACATCGTATAATCCTGTTTAAAAAACAACGGCAGTTTTATTTTGTTTAAAATAAATGTTGGAGGGAAAAGCTGGAGTGATTCACTCTTAGGGATTGCTTTCACTTTCTTCATTGCATATTTCTGAAAGATCTGATTTTTTCTACAATGAGCATTTATGTTTATAATCAGAGAAAAGCAATAAAAAATTAAAATGGTTAACTCTTACTCAGACAAGTTGCCCTACTCTGTGTAACAGTTTCACCAGCACCACCTCCCACATTAAATGATGGGCAGCATTAATAATTTGTCACCAAAGATCCTGCTGTGGTTTTTTTGTGGGTTTTTTTTTTTTTGGTGGAGGGGTGTAAATCTAATTCTACAAATTTAGAGGGGGTGCAAATGAGTTAATGATTACTTGGGAAATTTTAAGGAGATATTAGTGTCTAAAAACTTCTGACCTTTGATTTTTGCTTTTGTTTTCGTTTTTAATGTAGGTAATAATTATTTTTGAGAAACGAAAGGATTGCCCTCTCTTGCCATGCTGGTTGTAAGATAATACTAATGAGCTACAAAAACATGTGGAGGGTAAAACAAGGCAAAGGTGATATAGTGAATAGATTTACTTGCCCTCCAATAAAGCTTAGAGAACAGAATGTCTCAAGTAAATTGAAATCATATTAAGAAGACACCAGATTGCAGATTTTGAGAGCTGCATGGGATGCAGTCAACTTGTTATTGTGATGGTATTTCCCCAGGGAACCCAGGAACCCCTAAATTATGCTCTGTTGTAGGCCTGTCCCCCACATAAGGTCCTCAGAGTCAAATAAATGGAGAAAATAAAGCTTCCTCTTTCCTTATCCCTAATGGAACCCTCCCTCTGATGGAACTGAATGATTCTGCAGACTTAAGCTACCTCAGACTTCAAAGCTACCTCGCCCATTCTGCCCAGTGGCCACCAGCCATAGCACGCTTGCCTCTTTTAAAGCCCAAAGTCATGTATTTTACCCTTCCACTTTTTATGGTTTGACTTACCCTCCTCTTTTTCAGCTGTCTTTCTCCCCCAACCCCTTGTTTTTCCCTCTATCGTTAAAAGATAGGCTTTCCCCTTCTTCACTGCATTTTAGAACTTTCAGCCCCACCCTGCTCAAGGAAGGTTTTGGTTTTCCCTGCTGCTC